GTTTAGCCTGTCCACCTATCTATCTGTCCATATACCCCTGTTTGCCTTCACTGACAACTCAGTACTATATATGCAAAAGGGTTCATATTTGTTGTCTGTACTGCCCATGTACATAATGGTTTTTTTTTAACAGTATATGCCTTTTACATGTCACAGATACAAGCAGGTTTGAGTGAACGTGGTAAGTGCTCTTCCAATAGAGGTTTTTTCACATAGTACACAAACATAGTATTCCTCATCACAGTTATCATAACACTTCAGACTTGAAAAGCAGACTGTAACACAATAGTACAAAAGACAGTATCATAAAGAATCATTTAAGAAACATATTAGGAGACAAGATTTCATTTCCAGTACTACTGTTAATATGTCTAGTCTTGATATTTTACACCCTTGATAATTCTATACTATAATTGTTTCCCATCTGTAAAATGCAAACTATGTATCTTATATTTTCAAAGGAGTCTCTGGGTGGGAGAGTTATAGCACTCAGCTGCTAACCAAAATGTTGGAGGTTTGAGTCCACACGGGTGCCTCACAAGAAAGGCTTGGCAATCTACTTACAAAGAATCAGCCACTGAAAACTCCATATAGTACAGTTCTACTCTGACACACATGGGGTCCCCATGGTTACGGGGGGCAACAAGCTCAACTGGTATAACATACTACATACACAAAAACATTGTTCTACATCCTACTTTGGGGAGTAGTAACTGGGGTCTTAAAAGCTAGATGCAATAATGGGCCTCTCCATGACCAGAGCAAAGAAGAATAAAGAAAACCAAAGACACATGGAAACAAGTAGTCCAAAGATCTAGTGGACCATGCCATCCTCAGCTTATTATGACCATGAGACCAGAACTAGATGGTGCCCAGCTACCAATGTCAACCACTGAGAAAGGGATCAGTGCAGGAGATCCTGGACAGAGTGGGAGAACAATGTGGAACGAAACTCAAAATCATAAAAAGACTAGGCTTCCTGATCTGATAGAGACTGGTGAGACACTTGAGATAATGGGCTCTAGTCTGGTAGCATAGTGCCTAAGGCACTTGACTGCTAATCAGAAGGCTGGTGGTTCAAATCCACCAACCACTCCTCAGAAGGAAGATGGGGCAATCTACTTCTGTAGTGATACTGCCTCAGAAACCCAAGAAGGGGTCGCTATGAGTCGGGTTCGACTTGATAACACATAATAACAACAACAACAGTTACTCCTCAGATCTGGAACTGAACTCACTCCTGTGGCTTCCAGCAAAACAACAGACAGGCATATAAGGTGAACGTTTACATCAGGTAGATACACTCATCACAATGAACAATCGTGGGAGAACAGAAGGGCAGTGTTTGCACAGGGAGATAACTAAGAGGGGCAAGAATGCACAGGAAAGAAGAACACGGGGAAGAGGTAACTATGGGGAGGAAGTGGGAAGAGAACTATTATTACATTATGGGGAATTGCAGTCAATGTCACGAGACAAAATATGTACAAAATGCTGTATGGAAAATAAATTTGCTCTGAAAACTTTCACCAAAATCACAATAAAAATTACAAAGTAATGAAAAAATAAAGTGTATTCCTCCACCCCCCAAAAAATGATCTGCCTTGAGCACTATGCTCTTTTGAGAACTATCTGTATGAGATCAAATTGACAATAGTCACGGTGAGTTCATGTTAATGAGGTGGGAACAACTCAGAGGAGAGCGAAATGGTTCCACAACTTAAAGAATATAATCAACATCACTGAACTGTGCTTGCAGAAACTATTAAATTGGTTTATGTTTTCTGTGTATCTTCTCAACAACAAAATAAAATTTAAAGAAAAAAAAACAATAAATTAATAGATGAGAAACATTTTGTAAATTGTAAAACATGATTCCAAAAAGTGATTGTGATATTGTTGTTGTTGTTGTTGTTTGCCATCGAGTCAGCCCCGACTCATAGCGACCCCTCCTTGGGTTTCCGAGGCAGTATCACTACGGAAGTAGGCTTGCCCAACCTTCCTTCCAAGGAGTGGCTGGTGGATTGTGATATTAGGTATCATTATTATTATTATATCAGACAGTGTTTCATTGATATTCATAAGGTTTTCACTGGCCAACTCTTTGAGAAGTGGATGGCTGCTTCCTTCTTCCGAGTCTGTCTCAGTCTGGAAGCTCCGCTGAAACCCATCCACCAAAGGTAACCCTGCTGGCATTTGAAACACCAGTGGCACAGCCTCCAGTCTCACAGCAACATTCAAGCCACCACAGTACAACAAACTGACAGACAAGTTCATCTCCCATCATACTCATCACTAATGACAGTACCTTTGTTTTTGGATCAGTGGCAAACAGAGCAATCACATTATGTTAGATGTAATCTTTGCATACTATGATTCTTGTTATTAGGGATCAGTAGCCTATGAACACTTCATGTGTCCAGAAAGTAGACTTCCAGATAAATGAAGTATTACTATACGTGTTTTTAACATGGTAACTGCTCAAAAGATAACAACGCATCATAATGATCTTTTCTATTATCTTGGTTTGGGCTTCTAAACATTCAACTCAAAACTCAAATCCTAAAAGCAAACATCACTTTTTTTAAAAAAAATTTTATTGTGATTTGGGTGAAAGTTTACAGAGCAAATTCATTTTCCGTACAGCAGCTCACATACACTTCGTCTCATGACATTGACTGCAATTTCCCACAATGCAACAGATCTCTTCCCACAATCCCCATAGTTACCTCTTCCCTGCGTCCTTCTCTCCCACGCACTTCTGCCCCTGGAGCTGTCTCCCAGTGCATACACAGCCCTTGTATTTTCCCATGATTAAGCTCTCCAAGGAGTAAGTGTGTCTACCTAATGTAAATGTTTACCTCATATGGCTGTCTTTGTTTGGCTGGAAGCCACAGGAGTGAGTTCAGTTCCAGACCTGAAGGGCAGTTAGGGGCCATAGTCTCAGGGGCTCCATGAGCCTCTATCAAACCAGCAAACCTGGTGGTCCTTTTCTTTTTTTTTCAGTGGTTTTGAGTTTTATTCCACATTGTTCTCCCACTCTATTCAGGATCTCCACAAACATCACTTTAATTGGGACCCAAAGACAAAAGGACAGCAGTAATCAATTTGGTAGAATAGATGAACACATTTACCATACCTTTCAAAGCTTCCGTTTCTATGTCTACTAATGGCTTTCCCACATAGGCAATCTCGTCTAGATTATAATAGAGTTTTTTAATGACTCCATCATAACGACTAGTGATGGTAACAGAAGCTTTATCACTTTGAACTTCACAGATGCTATCAAACTGAGACACTGTATCTCCTTCTTTTACATACCTAAAGGAAAGAGACATAAAATACTTTGTCATGAAAATTATCAGTACAGACCATTCTAATAGTGTGAATGCCATATTGAGGTAGGTCAGTATCCATTTAACTCAGCATTTAGTCCCAGAAGGTACACCAAAGAATGTTTCATAGAAGATTATAATAGCTTCTACAGTCTCTTTGGATGTACCTTTGAGATACTAGAAATTAAAAACATCCATAGATCTATAATCCAAAATTTTAATTAAAATTTCAGATTTCCTGCCTTACTCATTTCTTGGGAAAAGAGGTTCTGCAAATATTTTTAAAGTAGTATTTTGTTTTATTGTCATTTTACTGACCTATCCTACACTGTAGGATAGCCATATTTCTATAACTGAGTCAAAAAACTGATGTTCCTAATCCACATTATTTATGATTTCATGAATTTTAGGTATGAGTTTTCTCAGTCTTTCTAGAAATGTTTTAGCCCATCCTCATCTACTAGCCCTGTAACCTCTAATCATTTTAGGTATCCTTTACAAGGCTCTTCTAGATATCCTTAACAAATAGAACTGGAGGGATCAAACCAAACCCAAACTACTACATGTAATTTTGATTCTAATACTATCTTGATGTGTCTAACACATTTCTGACTTATTTCTATCACTTTTCCATTAAGATAATTTTCAGTAATTCTTACTTTTGTATTCTTCAGTTCTCAGTGAATGATAAAACATTACCAGTGACATAGACACTAGGTTTAAAAGCACTTATAGAGGACTTCCACTTCTGGGATGACAGGGTAAGGATCTCTAAAAATCTGTTCCTCCATAAAAGCAATGAATAAACTGGCAAAAATTGTCAAAATCAACTTTTTCAGAGTTCTGTAAATTTAAAAGAGGTCTGCAATAATCTGGGAAACATTTACTCAAGAAACATAGCTAAACCTCATTTAAAAAGAGCAAGCTTTGTGCACTAACTTGTGCTGGTCCCACCCAAGGAGCCCTAGTGGCACAGTGTTAACTGCTTGGTTGCTAATTGGATGGTTGGTGGTTAGAACCCACAAGCTGTTCTTCAGGAAAAATATGTAGCAGTCTGCTTCTGTGAAGATTCTAGCCTTGGAAACCCTATGGGGCAGTTCTAATCTGTCCTATAGTGTCACTAGGAGTAAGAATCTACTCAATGGCAGTGAGTTCGAGGTTTCTTTTTTGTTTTGGTTTATTTCCACCCACCTTTCCCCAGCTCAGTGGTAGCCTTGAAAATCAGGCCGTCTAGCAACAACAGTAGCTTGAAAAACGTGGCATTTACATTAGGAGCTCTGGTGGTGTAGTGGTTAAAGCACTTGGCTGCTAACCAAAAGGTAGTGGTTCAAACTCACCAGCTGCTCCAAGTTAGAAAGATGAGGCAGTCTGCTTCCATAAGATTTACAACCTTGGAAACCCTATGGAGCAGTCCTACTGTCCTAATTGGTTGGTTGCCGTTAAGTTAGAACTGACTCAATGGCTCTGGGTTTGGTTTTGGTTTATATCCCTGGAAGCCTCCTTAAAAAAGCCCCTCCCCAGAAACCTGTCACAGCTCCCTAGAAAAATCTGATCCACTGGCTTGTTTTCATTTGACTGGACAGAGAGCTCTCTCTTCCAGGAAAGCCCTATTTCCACATTTGCTAAAAACAATTGTTGTTGTTATATGCCGTCGAGTCAAACGTGACTCATAGCGACCCCTCCTTAGGTTTCCGTGGCAGTATCACTACGGAAGTAGGATTGCCCAACCTTCCTTCCGAGGAGTGGCTGGTGGGTTTGAACCGCCAGCCGTCTGGTTAGCAGGCAAGTGTCTTAGCCACTATGCTACCAGAGCTCCCAAAAAACAATTAGCAACAATTATTTAAAAATCACAGCTGCCTGAGGCTAGGAGAACAAATCTTGAAAAGTAGCCTTTTTCTTCAGTGTTGTCTTTTGCTCTCCAGTCAATTCCAAATCACAGCAACTCTCTAAGTCAAAGTAGAACTGCCCCATAGGCCTATTATCTTTTTGTTTGTTTGTTCAATTTTTTTTAAAATTGTTACTGTGCTTTGGGTATAAACTTACAAAGCAGATTTGTTTAACAAATCTCAACAGTTCATGCACATTTGATTTCATGCCCCAAACATAAAAAACCCTCTTCCCCTCTCTTCCCTGTGACTACCCCCTCCCTATGCCCTTCTTATCTGTGCATTCCTGTCTGTCTAGCTTTCTCTCTCCAGGAATGCTGCCCCTCTGATGTCTCATGGATGATTGGTCTAATGTGCATCTTCCTAGGGTACATGAGTACATCTCCCTGGGGTAGGTGTTTGCACATAGGTCTTTCTACTGTTCCCAGGGGAGCAGATCAGCACATCTTTTCTTGGCTGGTGTGTTCAAACTGCCAACCTTTCAGTTAGCAGCTAAGTGCTTAACCACTGCACCACCAGGACTCCTTCAAGATGTTCACAGGTGTTCATAGACATCTGGAATGTGGAAAAGCTCCAACACAGTCTAAGAAGGCCACATGAATATACAGAGTTGTGCACCTGTCCTGGAAAAACCTGAGAGAACCCTAATCTTTGATCTCTGGTTGACGCTGAGGCAACTAAGATGTAAAAGGTAAGGCAGAGCATTGAAGGTATACCCAAAATGAACTCAGAGCCATTTAGCAAAATACCAAAGACTTAATGGCTCAAAATACTTAAGGAAATTTCTGTCCAATCACTAGATGACTGCAGCCTTCAACATGGATTACACCTCAATATAAAGAAAACAAAAATCTTCACTACTGGATCAATAAGCAGCATTACAATAAATGGAGAGATGACTGAAGTTGTCAAGGATTTAATTTTTACCTGGATCCACAATCAATGCCCATGGGAGCAGCAGTCAAGAAATCAAATGACATATTGCATTGGGAAAATCTGCCGCAAAGGACCTCTTTAAAGTGTTAAAGAGCAAAGATGTCACTTTAAAGACTAAGATGCACCGGACCCAAAATTCAAACTAAACTCACTGCCACCGAGTTGATTCCAACTAATAACAACCCACTTTGGGTTTCTAAGGTTTCTGTAACTCTTTACAGAAGCAAACTGCCTCATGTTTCTTTCACAGAGCAGCTGGTGGATCTTCTGTTTAGCAGCCAAATGCCTTAACCACTACACCACCAGAGCTCCTTATACCTAACCCAAACCATTGTCTTTTCAAAAGCTTCACATGCATTTAAATGCTGAACAATGAATAAGAAAGGCCACAGAAAAATTGATACATTTGAATTGTGATACTGGCAAAGACTACTGAATATACCGTGGATGGCCAAAAGAATGAACAGACCTGTTTTGGAAGAGGTATAGTCGGAATGCTCCTTAGAGGCAAGAACAGCCAGACTTCATCTCACATACTTTGGTCATGTTATCAGGAGGGACCAGTCCTTGGAAAAGGACATCATGTTTGATAAAGCAGAGGGTCAGCAAAAAAGTGGAAGACCCTCAACCAGATGGACTGACACAGTGCCTGCAGCAATGGGCTCAAGCACAGCAATGATTGTGACGATGGCACAGTGTCAGGATGGGCAATGTTTCATTCTGCTGTAAACAGGGTCACTATGAGTTGAAACCAACACAACAGCACCTAACAAAGACAACAATCTAAACAAGCAGAGACTTCAGTGGCCATAGACAAAAGGGAATACAGACCACATACAAGAGGTCGACCAAGACAACTAAACAGAAAAACAACCACCAAAAAAATCAACAAGAGTATATGAACTGTAGAATGGAAAATGAATTTGCTCTGTAAATTTTCACCCAAATCTCTCTCTCACACACACACACACACACACACACAACTCTAGGAGGGAATTTGATTTCCAGAGTTGCCACACTCTATTACTTAGAAAGTCCAGTTTCCAACAGAAAATTACAAGACTTGCAAAGAAATAACAAATTTTTGCCTATACACAAGAAAAAAATAGTTAATAGAAACCATCCCTGTAGAAGCCCAGATGTTGGAATTACTCGACAAAGACTTCTGATCAACTACTACAGTGAGGCCTGAGAGTTGGAACTCAATGAGACTGCCTTGTTTTTCCAGGTCTTGCAAGTTTTCCACCTTTGATGGGGTGTAGTCTTATCATTTTTCTATCACTCTCTATTAGTGGAAAATACAACTGCAGCTGTGAGAACTGGAATGCAACAGGACTGCCTGGTTTTTCTGGGTCTCAAAAGTATTCTGCCTCAGACAGGGTGCAGCTTACCACTTTTCCATCGTTCTCTATTAATGGAAAATATTTGAGTTTTCCTTTGGTGATGAGTTTCTGCCTTACATGGGTTCCAGATTTCTCAGGTTTTACCGTATAGACATTGTCACAGAACTAAAGAAAACCACATTGAAATAATTAAAGTATAAAAATGATAGAAAGGAAATTCCTCAACATAATCAAGGGCATATATGCAAAAACAACTGCTTACGTTATTCTCAGTGGAGAGAGACAAAGCACTTCCCCAGCGAACGGGAACCAGATGAGGATGCCCTCCTACACCACTCTTATTCAACACTGTATTGGAAGCTTTAGACAGGGCAATAAAGCAAGAAAGGGAGCTCTGATAAGAAAAGAAGGTAAGAAAGAAGGAGCTCTGATTGTAGTGGTTAAGGCATTTGCCTTCTAAATTATAGATTCATATATTACATGCTTTTAAAAACACATGCTCTTGTATCAATTTTGTATCTTTCAGAGGTTAATTTCTCTTTTTAGGTGGAGTGGGCCATAAAAGGATTTTTTATAAGAGGAGAGTAAAAAGTAAAGCCTAATAAATCACATCAAATAAATAATGTATAATGCATTTTGTCACCAGCATACAGTCACTATAAACCAATTCTACCTTATTGTTTTAAAAAAGCATCAAGAAGTTGCAGCAAGATGTTGCTCAATGTAAATAGGTTCCTACTTATTTTTATTCAAATTATTTTCATGGTATTTAAAAGTTTTTCTAATTAACTTACCATTCTTTAACAGTTACTTCTCTAATGCCTTCTCCAATGTCTGAGAGTTTGAATTGAACAATCTGTCCATGTAGAGCTTCAAAAGCAAATGAGAAATGATAACATTAATCCTAATAGATAATACTTTCACATCTAAAATTAGAAAATGTTCTTAAGCATAGGCAGCAATTATTCCATCTTACAGATGGAAAAATAGCATAATTCTAAACAATATAACCATCATTCATTACCATCAAAAATTTAAATTTTATGTGAGTGATCAACACAGTGGCATTGAGGAAGAGAAAGACAGAGAGGTGCATGGGCGGTACAGACAACAAAGATGGACTCTTTTGCACATACAGTGCTGAGTCATCGGTGATGGCAAACGTTGATCTACAGGTGGACAGATGGGTAGACAGGCTAAACAATGAGGTATGTCAATGCGGGGATGGGGCGTGCCCATGACTATGTATAGGGTTGGCAGACAATGTTTCCACAATTGTATTTGTATGTCCTGTAAGAATGTCCAGACATACAGTAGAGCTGAGAAGGGACAAGTTTAAAGTCACTTCTCAGCCACAGCCAGCTACCCAGAGGGAGCAAGTAGTTGGACCTGTGGGCTTGGGACCATGGTCACAGGGGACATCAAGCTCAATGGGCATAACATACTACACAAAAACATTGTTCCACATCCTACTTTGGCGAGTAGCGACTAGAATCTTAAAAACTTTCAAGCAGTCACCTAGATGCAACAATGGGTCTCTCCTCATCCACAGCAAAGAAGAATGAAGAAAACCAAAGACACACGGAAACAATTAATCCAAGAGACTGGCAGATTATGGGAACCTCAGCCTAGATGACTATGAAACCAGAAGAACTAGATGGTGCCTGGCTATCACTGTCAATCATTTGGAGGGGAATCTATGTAGGAAATCCTGGACAGAGTGGGTGAACAATGTAGAACAAAACTCAAAATCATTAAAAAAAAAAAAGAAAAGGGGACCAGGTTTACTGGTCTGATAGAGCCTGGTGGAACCCCTGAGACTATGGCCTCTAGCTGCCCTTCAGGTCTGGAATTGAACCCATTCCTGTGGTTTCCAGCCAAACAAAAGACAGGCATATGAGCTGAACATTTACATTAGGCAGATAAACTCCTTGGAGAGATCAACTGTGGAAAAATAGAAGGGCTATGTTTGCACAGGGAGACAGCTCAGGGGGCAGGAGTGCATGGGAGGGAAGGACACAGGGAAGAGGTGGCTATGGGGAGGAAGTGGGAAGAGAGCTGTTGCACTGTGGGAGATTACAGTCAATGTCATGAGACAAAGTGTACGTGAACCGCTGTATGGAAAATGAATTTGCTATGTAAATTTTCAGGAGCTCTGGTAGCGTAGTGCCTAAAGCACTTGACTGCTAACCAGAAGGCTGGCAGTTCAAACCCACCAGCCACTCCTGGGAGGTTGAGAAATCTACTTCCGTAGTGATACTGCCTCGGAAACCCAAGGAGGGGTCGCTATGAATCAGGTCTGACTCCACAGCACATAACAACAACAACATGTAAATTTTCACCCAAATCACAATAAAAGTTTTTTTTTAATTGTGATTTGGGTGAAGATTTACAGAGCAAATTCACTTTCCATACAGCAGTTCACATATACTTTGTCTAATGACATTGACCACAGTTTACCACAATGCAACAGCTCTTCTCCCACTTCCTCCTCATAG